TTTTTGTTCTCTATGATTAATTGTAAAATGATGGAAGAAAGAGTATTGACAGCAAGCAAAGGACTAACGGATTTCCCAGTGAGGTCTAATTAGATATCGCGTGTGTGGATGGATGTCCCACCAAATGACAATGGTTGGGGTCGCGCTAAATCACGAATTGGTAGAAGTTAGAATTCATGCACTTGTCATTGAATCAGGTCCCAGTGGCTGAATGGTATACGAGCTAGCCTTGTAACCGGAAGGTCGTGGGTTCGAATCCCAGTGGGTGTGTACTGCCGATGATTCCCAAACTAGGATGAAACCGCAGCTGTCTAGTACTCCCTGGTTTTCAATGGTTCTCTAACTGATATCAATCCGTGATCAACTCGTAAAAACATAACTAACCCTTACAAACCAATCTATAGAAAAATAATGGATTGGAATTTTTAGTCGGAAGTGAAATAGTTCAAGCTGCGATATTCTGAGAAAGTATAAGTGTAATGATTATTACACTGGATAAACACAGGTTTGAGGTAGAGAGAGGGAGAGGGTGAGAGAATAATCAAATGTAGATGAGTGAATATTTTCAGAAGCTGGAGATTTGTAAGCATTGTGAATATACGTACAAGGAGTGCCTAAACATGCTGCTCCATCTGTTGAGAAACGATTAAAGGTTTACACCTATGATCAGAAATAATATAGTTCTTGCATGTCTTCTATTTTCTCTTCATGAGATACATATTCATAGGCTTTTGAGAATACATCTTTAGGGATATTATGTAATGCTATATTGATTGTATTGTTGAGTGAGATATGCGGTTTAACGGATTCACCGTAAGGGAATAAAAATGTATCCATTGTCTTTTTCCACACACACAAACACAGAGTAACGAATACAATCTGATTTACTTCCCTGTTGGGAGTGGCGAGTGAATAAAGACATCAAGATGGTGGTTTAGGTACTAGTTTTTATAGATAATCAATACATCTCCTTAGATAGATAGACTTCTGTCTATCACATCATATATCAGTTAAAGCGGTTTTAATGAAATGTTTATGTAATTGTGGCACGAAGTTCATCAAATCACAAAAACCAAGTAAAAGAAACTATTGTTATTATTATTGTTCTTCCCTTGGGTTCCTATTGGAACATAGGGCCTCAACTGCACGTCTCCACTTGCTTCTGTCTTCCTTCTGCTGTACTTTTCACATGTATCTATGTTAGTCCATACTGTTTCAACTCCTCTTCACACGATCTCCTCCATGTCACCTTTGCACTGACGTCCCACTCGCCGTTTCCCCTTCAGCCTGGTTCCACTCGAGCAATGGCCTGACGCGCGCGCGATGTCACCCAGCGGCCTCCTCAGCCACGAATGTCCAATCCATCTCCACTTTCTCCTGCATATTTGTTGGTTAGCGATTGGTTCTTGTTTTGTTTGTTCCCATAGTTTCTTGTTGGTGATTCCGGTCCGGCCATCTGATCTTCAGTATAGATTGAAAAAAATTAACAATTATGCTGTTACACTTATAAGAATGTTATATAAGAACTGTTACACTTACAGTATGCATCAGTGGCACAGTGGTTAAGACTCTCGCCGACCATGTATATGGTCCGGGGTTCGGTCCCCTGCCGACGCACACCAGATATCAATGGTCAGTCTGCAAAATTTGGGCTACCGATATCCATGCTGAAAATTCCATACATGTACCAAAAAATACGGTGTGGAATCAAGCTGTAATAAAAAAAGAATATCAGAAACAAAACTGAAGGGTAATCTCTACACAACTGTAAAGCAAGTTAAAGTGATATCAGAAGCTGTACTTAGATAATACTTTGGAGTTTGAAACGTTAGGGTAAAGGTTTCTAGTCTTCTTGGATATGTAGGTATATAATCCAGCCGACAAGTCCCAGATAGGGACGCAGTGCACGCATTCTTGACTCCACTGCTAATCACCATCACCAATTAAAATAACTTCATTGTTGACCTTCTACTTTTCTTTGTCAAGTGTTTATCTATCACACACAATGTTTGTTGTACTCAGTTGGTCATATTGTAATGGTTGAAGATGAGGCGCTTGGTAAAGGAATGTTTATTTGCAATTTTGTATCTCTATATAACCAAATTATGTACACCTTATCTCCGACGCACCATTTGCACAGATCTTCCCGTGTTGTGGTACTTCTGGCCTTCCTCCATATTATTGATATAAGAATAGAACTTGTCCACTGTGGTAGAGTATAATTCCATTATAGGTAAAATTTATTTTGATAAAATCCCACAGTTTGATTGGACACTAGTAACTAGTGTGATGTGTCTAGTCTCCTTTCTTTGGTGCAGACTGAATTCCATCAGTCAGGTTTGCAATGTGGCCACCATTCTAGGTAGCTCGCCATCACGGTGCACATTGATTTGATGATATTTGGAGGCAGTCGGCCACAGGGAACCTTGCTCGACCTAGGTTTCGTGCCAGTTGGCACTCACAAGTCAGCAAGGCTTATCTACAACCTTGAAGGAACTCATGTCCTTTCTGAGATTCGAACCCGCGTCACCCAGTCAGAGACGTTACCACCACTGAGCTATTCAGGCTCGCGATTGACCTCCTGTACGACTGTAGTGGATACCGTCTCACAGTGTTATACAGTGATATTTACTTATGACGTTTTAAGCGCAATTTATTCCTCATAATCATATCAAGGTGTTTCTTTGTGTTCCTTTCGTGTCTCCCATGTATCTCCGAAAGGCTGTACCATTTGCCTTTTTCAACATCAAAAGCATTTCCCTGCTATTTGATGTCTTTAATCCCGATGAACTCTTTATATACTACTGAGAAATCTTATCGGTAGACAACGCCACAATATATATGTAGGGATTTCAGAGATTTAGTTGTAAACGAATAGAACTGTTCAGCTAGTTTTCTATTCACTATGTTAGTAATAATCCAACTGTATGCGTTTGAATGTTCTTATTTCTTTAAGGTTTTCAATTATTTTCTTTTTGTTGATGACCAACAGTATTCAGTTGACGTGTATTAATCATCTTTTACCAATGTTTAAAGTCATGAATTCATCTGATATGATGTCATTAAGTATCACTTCTGTTCTTTCCTTTCATATGTTAGTATTTTTATGATGACCTAGTTTTCTAATAGTTTTAACAAATGACTATTGAAATTATGAACTTTCGATAACATAGGCTGACAGTGATTTGATATTTTTTGTGTGTGTGTTCTATCATATTTTTTTAAGAAAAATTGGTTGTTTTTGCTTGTGACGTAATTGCATTCTCAAGTTACTTTATACGCGTTGATTTGTGTCTAGAAAGTACTAGAAATCAAATGTCAATCACAGTTTCTTTTATTTCTGATTTTCAAGTTTTTGTTTCGTGACCTCTATTTTCTTTCATCCGTTCACTGTGAAACAGAACGCGTGTAGTATTAATTTTTTAATCTCTAAAGTCTTAATTATATGCAGGATTGCAAGGGCTCCTCACTTGTGTTATTACTGTCGTTATTTGTTATCATTGTTCAATTAACAGGATTCTAGTGTGTGCTGTTCCTGTCTTTTGCATTCCGAGTAGCATATAGGGCTTCAAGCTTCAGCTTTTTTTATGCGGTGAGATTGCTAGCCTCATGCCCAACCTTCTCTCTTTAACGGATTTACTAACACTGGCTAAGTTGTTGTATAGGAGTGCGTCGGCTGGGAATCGAACCCTAGACCACGTTAGTGGTTGGCAAGCATTCTACCACTGGACGTATCCTTATATTCTCATATGTATATTTCAGATCACTAGGATCCCGTATTTCTTGACATTGCCAGTCTTTTAATCAACGAACAGGTATACCGTTTAAATTGGTACTCTGATCAGAACTTACATCACCGATATGTGCGCTAACAAATTGCAATGTGTTTGCAAGTTCACATCATATATGATGTTGGTATTTTTGATTGCACACTTGTCAGTAACTAGTGTAATGTGTCTAGTCCTATGTTCACTGCAGACTGAATTCTATTAGTCAAGCTTGCAATGTGGCCACCATGCAGTGAAAATAAGACTAGACACATTACACTAGTTACTGACTAGTGTGCAATCAAAAATACCCAATACAGTCCTACAGGAGGTCAATCGCGAGCCTGAATAGCTCAGTGGTGGTAACGTCTCTGACTGCGGCGCTGGGTGACGCGGGTTCGAATCTCAGAAGGGATATGAGTTCCTTCGAGGTTGCAGATACGCCTTGCTGACTTGTGAGTGCCAACTGGCACGAAACCTAGGTCGAGCAAGGCTTCCTGTGGCCGATTGCCTCCAACCATCTAATGATGTTGGTATTATGATGACTTCTCATCATCAATTATTTATTGTTCTATGCCGTATCATTGAGAAGTTATGGTCAGTTTATCTGTAAAAAACAACATTTGTCCCGAGTACTTACTATACATTCATTGTAACGGTGGAAGACGAAAGACTTGGTAAAGGAATGTTTACTTGGAAATTCGTATCTCTATATAGCCAAATTATGTGTACACCTTATCTCCAAACCACCCTTTTCACAGATCTTCGTGTTATGGTACTTCTGGCCTTCCTTCAGATTATGTTTCTTTGTGTTCCTCTCATGTTACTCCATGTATCGCCAAAAGGCTATACAGTTTACCTTCTCCGACATCGAAAGTATCTCCTTGACAACTGATACGTATAATAAAGCAAAAGCAACAGCTTGGCAAAAAGAGTTTAATGAAGAGGCATTCGAAATCATATTGCATGTTTTCCTGATTGATTTATTTAGTTATCGCTTATCAGGCCTGGAAAGCACAGAGTGGTTTTTTTTTGGCAGACACGCAGTACAGGTGGTAGGTAGTTAGGCTATATGATACAATATTTCTCTGCACTGTAATTTAATATTACCTGTTGATAGAGAAGTCAGTTTTGTGTGTAGACAATCTCGAAAAAGAAATGGTTTAACACACATTGATGTAATCACATTTAAATCCTCCTATTTATTATTTTATTCTATTTTTTCTTTTATAGGTCGATTTAGTTTCTGGTCACAACCACAATCACACAGTGCAAATACAATGGTGGAATTTATTGAAAAGGCAGTTGCTCATTCAGTTAATGGACAATTCCATTATTTCCTTCAAAGTAGCGCCCAGGGTCAACCACCTGTTGAAGTACCCCTGTTATATCCCCTTTCTCGATTTCAAGTAAGCCTGGTATTTTTTTACTTTTGAGATTTTTTTTTGAAGTTATGTTATGCTTATTTTTTTCTCCAATTTATTCATATTTTAGGTGATATGTAGTATAGTATGTGACCAGATACAATGCTAATGTCTTTATTTAGCTCTATGTGGTGTAGATTGTAGTGTTTACTTATGCTGTACTGTGCAGTACTGTATCATCAATAATGAAAGGTTTGACGAATTTTGACGGGATATATATATATATAGCGTTGTATTCGTCATGTTGTATGTAACACAAGCATATTATTCGATTTGATTATGTGTGAAGACGTGGCTCACAACTAGCCTAAGCACTCATATTTCAATCAATGGGTCCCGGTTTTGAGTCCTGCCTCATCTAGTTCAGCCTGAACAGCTGCATATTAGTAGTATCATTCACCCTCACATGATATAGAGAGCGTAACTTGGAGTCTGATCCATCAGGAAGTGAAGCAGCATCAGGAGCTACGTTCCCATGGTGTTGCCAGTGTTTAAAACAGGTTCACACGACACTTGATCTGCTCAAATTCTGAAGTCCACGTAGATCATAGGTCCGGAATCAGGGTTTTTCCAGCTTCCCTAGGTAAGCCTGCATGCCAACCAGTCTGGTTATAGGTGATAGACGTTCGCATATGCCCTTCTACCTTTGTGAGGTACACCTCCTACCAGGTGAAGACAGTGAATAGGAGTTTTCTGACAGGCCACATGAGAGCATTTGAAGAGGAAGACTGAAGTTTACTCACCAATCGCTGTACCGAGTCGTTTATGGAAACATATGTACAGATATGAAGTATGACAATTTCAACCAAACAGTTTAGTGAATTCCACATTTTGTTATTGTGAATGTCGTAACCAGGTTGAAATAAACGTTTGTATTATATATGTTTCGTGTGTGTAAGCAAAGCAACACATACAGCATTCATAATCATTCATGTCAACTTCAGACTTCTCTAACGGATAAACCATAGGTTCAGACATGATCTCAGTTCACCTTCTTATTTTCTTAACCTTTGTAAATTTCTCCTTCACTACATTGTAGCAATATTCAATTATTCTTATCAGTTTCTTAAACTCTGTTAATTTATCCTATGGATGTATGTGTCTAATTAATGATAAATGAGGTTACACGTCATATCATCTTATTCTTGTCTAATCTTATAATATAACTTTGTAGTTGCCATATTGTAAGTTTTGTTTTTTCCTTCACGTCCCCCAGTGGAACATAGGGCTCCTAGCTAGTGGCTTCAAGTTTCTGCAGCAGTGTTTTATTTTACAGAATGGAGTTGCTAGCCTCATGCCCAACCTTTCCTCTTTACCAGAATTATTTCTGGCTTAGCGAGGTAAAGGAGTGTGTCTGTGGCCGGGGATCGAACCCCGGACCATGTGCACAGTCGGCGAGCGTCCTGACTGCTATGCCACCGATGCGTGTATATTGTATGTAACACCAGTTATATATATATATATATATATATATATTGTGTGGAGACGTGGCTCACTGACTTGGTCACTTAGCTTTCAGTCAAAAGGATCTTGGGTTTGAATCCCATTTCACTTATCTCAGCCTAGACAACTGGGTAGCAGTAGTAGTAGTAGTATTCATTAGCTCTTCTCACATGATATGTGTGAGACTGACTGAGAGCATCGAATAACTTGTCGCAGGAACCGAGATCAAAAATACACTCTTGATGTGTTATAGCGAGTAGATTATTTCTCTCTTTTTTGTCATTCACCTTCCATCTTTACGTTTTTACGAGAGATGATTTTATGAATTTTAAAAAATACACATATAATTAGTTAGTTCGTTAGTGATCATATTTTATGTCTCTCTGTTTGTAAATATACACGCTAATTCTGTTGTTCACAAATCCATCCTCCTCCTCTTCTTCTTTTCATCCACATGATATGATACTTCTATTTATAAAGAAGAAAGATATGTATGAGTGTAAATGCCTTTTTTTTTAATATTCATTTACCGACATTCTTTGGCATCTTATCTGGAATAATACATACAGTCTTTTTTTCAAATTTCATTGGCATTTGCTTACGCCTACTTGTACTTCTACTACCACTACTACTATTGATGGCAATGTTGTATGAGGTGTACAATGAACCATTATTCTTGTCATGGTACCTTATACTTTATTATCATTGTGTCGCTAAAACCTTAGAGATATAGTGTGTGTGTGTTTCGATGCTCACACGGAGAATTCTTTTCAACGGATAAAATAAATTGGTTTGTTATCTTTTATAGGATTTTATATTTGGGCATTGTTTATATACGATTCTGTGTACTTTATACGTCTAATCCATTTCCCTAACCTCATCAAAAGACATTGATTTGATGAAGGTACTAAACACAAACGTGTACTGATGCTCATCATCGGACATGTCATCATTTAAACATGTTGTGATGTTTTGTATTTTTGGGTTTCTTCTTCCACATCTTCTATAATTGATTACCTGTTTTTAAGTATGTTTGATATGCATATATACGCATATATATATAAAAGTACCATATTATGAATTTTTATAGCTTCGATTATATATGCACACACACAGACCCACGTACACACATACGTACAATACGCGTATTGGCACAGAATGTATTTCATTTGGCAAACATCAGAATGACAAATACCTTTTATTTATTATTATTATAATGCCATGTGATCAATAAATTCTTGTATAATTTGTGCGCATATATATATATATATATATGTAGTACAACATTATGCTTGTGTAACTCTCCATATTCGCGCGTAGTGTTAGTGTGCACGAGTGTGAGTGCGAGTGTTTACACATGGCTATCTCTCTCTCTCTCTCTCTCCTGTGTCTTTTACGCATACGCACATTCACGCTAAGGTATGCAGATATAATAATTCCCAATTGTTGAACATTTGTGTTGAATAATATGTGTGATTGCTCCTTATATTATTGCATGCAATTACGCTAGTAACAACAGTTGTTATAATAAAATAATAATACGCCTAATCATAATAGTAATAATAATAGTCATAATAACGATCGTTATTATTGTTGTTCTTGTTGTTGCTTGTACTAGTTATTCTATTTAGCAAACATTTCATCCTGTGATAAAAATAACAGCAACACTAACAGCAACAACAACAATAACGACAAATAATTAAACAATTAAAAAACAAAAAGCTAAAACAATAGTCTATGTCTATGACTTTAGAGATAGAAAGAGAGAAAGATGATAATACATCCTAACTTGTGTGTATTTTCGTCTCTCTCTCTCTCTGTGCTTGCGTGCGCGTGCGTTAGTACTTTGTTATTTTGAAGATATTTGATGCCTTTTTCTCATATAATAATACATATACTGTAAGTGTATATATATATATTGTGTGATTCATCGCTAAATTTTTCTAGTTTTTGTTTAATTCTTTAAATTATAATAAAATATTATCTTGACAAAGACATCTTGTTATCATTGTGGTTTGAAACTCTTATTTGTATACTATATTCCATCATTTTATAATTTGCTTCAGTTTTACTATACTCAGTCTAATAATGACACGTTCATTCTATTGTGGTTGTCTACTGTGGAATTGGAAGAGAAGTATGCATAATTGATTTGTGCAACTGTAGATCATGCGTTTGAACTCCACTTCACCTGTCGAGCGTTTCTGACAATCAGGGTTGAGTATCATTAGCCCTTGAGAGAGTAATAAATATGGCTCATTGCCAAGTATGAGTATGGCTTTATTAGACTGTTAGCAACTTCACTATTCATAAAGTCATTTCCTCTCAGAAATTTCTACCATCCTAACATGCATAGTATCAAAGTCTACGTCTTAACTCTGCTAACTTATTTAGTTCACACATAATATCCTGTACAATTGGATCATATAATAATATTATTATTCCCTTGTGTTCCAAGGGCTTCAACAACAGATCCCCACTTTGTCCTATTTTCTGCTATCCTCTTCAGCTAAGTTCACGATTGACCAAACTCTCTCATCTCTTACCCACACGATATCCTCCATGTCACCCTCGCACCGACGACCAACTCGTCGCTCCCCAACGGCATTCCACTCGAGCAATGGTCTGTCGTGCGATGTCATTCGGCTGTCTCCTCAGTGTATGCCCGATCCATCTCCACTTTCTCCTGCATATTGGCTGAGTGGTCGGCTATTGGTTGGTTTTTTTGTTCCCATAATTTCTTCTTGTTTATTCTTTCTGCCCATTTAATCTTCAGTATGGAGCCAACGAAGTGAGCATCTGTTGATGAAAGTCTGCAACAGGCTGTTGGAAATCCTTTTCGTGACACACTGGTCAAGTTTCTGACCCGTATAGAAGAATCGAATTGGCTCATATGCAGACAGTGTGATCTCTGGATAATTTGTCAGTTTAACTGTCTAATTCAGAATGTCTTCATCCAAAGCATTTTGCTCTGTTAAGCGATATAATAATTACACATGATTATTCCCTTGGTTGCCGAGTGAAATATTAGGCTTCCAAGGCATATTTACATTTCATCTTGCTCTCTGAGGTCCTCTTTAGTTAGTTAGTTTCACGATTAGCCATAATCTCCTGTGTGTCACATTTGGAACCACCCCCAAATCATCGTTTCCCATTCGTGTCCCACTCTCTAGGGCTTTCGGCGCATGATGCCATTCAAAAGTCTCCTCAGTGTACATCCAATCCATCTCTATTTCATTCATGTATATTTGTTCGACGATAGGTTAGTTCGTTGGTTCATTTCCCCAGTGTAATCTAAAATATCTGTTCACTCTGGGGTACAATGTCATAACTTGGTGTTCAATATTAGTTTTATTGTAAGTGATTGGCAAGATGCTTTGGACTTATGGTGTCATTTTAATTTAAAAAATTTTTTTCATATATCCAATCATTCATTAATTACTTCTAAAAATAGTGACATTTAGCCTTGAAAAGTGCATTAATGGCATGATATTTTATTCGGGAAATAAAGTCTACTCATACATACATAGGTTGACTGAGAC